GGGCCACCAAACCTGTGCAAATCTGTGCATGCAGATCCTGTCAAAGACTCCCCATGATTTTTGCAGCGTACGCCCGTGTGGCCATGGCCAGACATGACCGATTGTACGCGCATGCCCACATACTATCCGCCATGAGCTGGAGAAAGGCCACGCAATGTGCAGGATGCAGTGCCCCGGTCCCCTTGAAATCAGCAGAAGCCCAAGAAATATGCTTCGGGCCCGGAGCTAGGAGTCCCGGGAGTCTCCAAGGAGGAGCCCCTGCACAAGGATCGCGGAGCTCAAAGCGCAGCTGATTAAGCCAAACATGCATGCACACATGGGCAAACATATCCAAAACTTGCAGTATGTCTGTGAGAATTGCGAGCATATATTCATTAAGTATGGCTTACAAGCAACTTAAGCAATGTATGGTATATTTTGAACTTATCAAGCGCACGGAAAATGAAGAAACTGCTAGGCGAAAAACCGATGCTGTATCATATATTGACACTAGAAAAGAACATTGAGATTCACTACAGACTTCCGGAAAACCCGGCATATTCATTCTATTGCTGATTTGGCGCGGAAAGTCCTCATGAATCGGTTGTGGGCCGCCAGAGACCAACATACGTTCTGTTCCGGCAGCACATCGCATTCGTTCAACAAGTCTCCATGCCAACCATTTGTAAGCAAACGATGTAAGCTGGGAACTGTCGACACCTATGTCTTCAAGCGAGATGCTGTATTCTCTTAGCAGCAGCTAAGAGTAAAGCCGGCCTGATTTGACCCTGGCCGTTCAAGAAGCTAAAAGAAGCTAAATGCTAGACTCTGCAGGAACAAGAACAGGTTCTTGGTTTGAAGCACCAAGGCCTTTGATCTGAGCAGTTCACTTTTGCTGAACCATTTTATTTCCAATCTGTATGCCGTCTTTGGTTTGTCCCGCTCTGACTGTTGGCCGTTCCAAATTAGAAGTTTAATGGTATACAAAGCCTGCGAAGGACTTCCTTCGGGTGCCCCAATGTTGCAGACAGGTAGCCAATCCCTATGACGAGCCTTGGAAGAGGCAACCTAAGATTTTTAAGATTCCGCGCACATCCACCGTCCTCTTCACCTCTGCGCAGTCCTGCTAGTAGCCAGTCTAATTCTAGTACGGACGCTTTGTCTCGGGCTTCTCAAGGAGCCCAGCCGTTATTAGCCATCACACGTCCCCAAAACGGGGAGTTTTATTCGGACCCAAAAGTGGGCCTACTATCAGTCAGTCTTTTGAGAAACATTCCACAGCTCCACTCTCAAGCACAGTGCATCCACACCCCGACCGTGTTGCTGAAGCATCCCCCACCCTGAGAGAGCGCCACGTCCGCAATCGCCTCCCTCACGCTCTGGTCCCAACAGCGCGCCATCGCCCCGACCGACACCGCACCACCCCCGAGGCGCCGCACTGCCGTCGAAAAGTTCTCCCGCGCCGCCGTTGCAAACGGGAGACTGAACCCGGGGGCAGAGTAGTCGTGCCAGACAGACGGCGACACCGTAGGGTAACTAGGGGGGACCAAGAGCCTTAGCGCAGAGGGGCTGACGCTACCCCCGTTGTATGTACACAGCACCGCAGTGCCCTTTCGCCCCTCCGCTTGCGCTTCTCTCGTTCCGTCCACGGAGATCTCGACTCGCGTGTCAACCAAGAACCGGTTCACGTCCTCAACCTCGCCCTCAAGAGCTGACTGCGCCCCAAAGCGTGCGCGCTTCGCTCCTAGAGACCCGGCCTCATCGCCCGAGTGCTCAAAATCGACGCAACTATGCGCGTCGCTCACCGAACTCCCTGCATCGAAGTCGGAACCGTCAATGCCAATCGAAAGCACCGACTGCTTGCCCCGGGCGCGCTTCGCCCCAGCCACGACCCCCGGTTTTGCCGCGAGCCGCGCGCGCGTGTTCGCGACCAGGTTCTCCGGCTTCGCGCTTTTTGAATCTGTCCCGCGGGGCACGAGCGCGTACTGGTTCGTGAGTTGCACCAACTGGTCGATGTCAGAGGCGGCTTGGTCGAGCGTGCTCTGACTCTGGGAGGATTGGGAGAGGAGCCAAACTTTCTTGGCAAGGGCCTTGAGGGGGTTGTCTTTGACGGAGGCTGCCGGGGGCGATGACACCTGGCCGCGCAGGGCTGCGATCGGCAGGTCTTCGTCGTCGACATCGGCGATGGCTGGGGACGCCGCGGCGCCTGCAGCAGACCCAGGGGTGGTCAGACGCTTCGGGTTACCTTTACTTGATTAAGACTTTAAGGCCCAGACTTATCAACGGGCCTGCCTGCTCAGAAACCTGAGGAATCAACAAGGGCCTTGAGAAGGAGTGGGTGCAACTCAATGCAGCCTTGTTAGAGTTTTTTCTAAGTTAACCCAACTTGGTGACAGGACCGCCAGGAGCAGGAGGATCTAGATGTGGCAAAGAACCAAAGCTGGTTGATGGGAGATCCCCTTGCACAAGGGCGTGGTTGGAGACGGGCTGACTAACGTCCAAGATCTTTGAGCGCCAAAAATAAAGGAGTATTCCTCTCGTAGCGAAGTACTGCTGTACCGCCAAACCGGAACCGACTCCGCCTTAAGAGATTATCAAGTAAGGCATCATGTCGTACAGAAAAGCTGTGATGTAACATGGCCAAATGCCCACCTTTTGACGACCCCTGGTTATTGAGCTTGGGCCCACCAGGAAGGGGGGGCTTCCCGTCGGACCCGGTAAACCGGGGGGATGTGGGCCCTGCCACCGACCCCCCTGGGCTGGTCAACACGCTGCCCCCCGAAGCCGACATTTGCTTTCCAGGCGCTGCTGGGGGCAGGGCACTTTGGAACGGGGGGGTCGGCGCCTTGAAGTTGTCGGGACTGAAGGGCTTGTAAGCCTCGACTGGGGACGGCGCTCGGAAGGC